GCATGCTTTTTTCAGGCACATACTTCTTTTGAACAATGCAATTCTGTGCAGACTCAGCCGTTGTCCTTGTAGCTCTCAGTTTCTCTCCCCCTTACCTTTCTTAAAAGTTGAGGAGTAGTTAGATATTAAATTAGTCCCACCATTTATAAAGTGGGTTTTCTCATATGGCTTAAGATCTAGTCAGGGTGGCATAGGCTATTGTATTAAATAGTTTTAAGTTTCCTTGGTCTAATGTCAAGATTCCACTGTGTATTATTAACCAATATTAGAATAAGAAGACACAGAAGAGGTATATTTTCCTTTATTTTTTATTATAATACAAGAAAAAATCTAGAAAGCACATTTCACGGAGCACCATATTGTAACAAAATTTTGCTGGCTCTCCTACAAAGTGTTTTTGACATTTAAACAATGACACACATATAGTCAGTACACGCAGGCACCTACACCTTGGCGATCTTATTAACAGCCCCAGAGAGACCCCTCTTTCAAATACAGAAACACTAAGGTGCACAGAGGAATGCCAGTGTGAGGGCATCTGAACGCCAACTGAGTTAATTACTCTTTTGTTAGCGATCTTCATAAGCACACAGGCCTTCATTGTCTCACCCCAGTCTCTCTTCTCTGAAACCTCCAAATTGGGCCCAAAGGTCACTGAATATGGATCTGGCACAGACAGGGTGTAGAGTTGAACAAAACTGGCCAATATTCCCTACCTGATACCTCTTATTGCTTTGGTTATAGTACTGAATAAGTCTTAAAAACTCTTAAACCTACACTCCACACCACAGAAAAGCCACTTTCACACATACAGAAACATAACCTCCCTCCCCATACACACCTGAACACATAGTACTGATACCTTTTCAAGAAGCTTTGTGGATTTCCCCACCAAGATCACCTTCATAAAAATAATTGCATTTTGTTTTTCAGAATGTTCAGACAGTTGGTCAACAGTATTTTTTCATAACATATTTCTTTCTTTTTAATAGACAGGGCATGTTTTCCTGCTGCCTTAAATTTATGTCATTGTCTACACAAGCAAGAGCAAAATGCTATTGTTTTTATCTGTACAAAATGTTTTACATACATTTTATACAGTGCTAAATAATGATGCTAAGCACAGAACAATGTAGAATGATAGCCCAGAATAGCTTTTTACCTTGCTCAAAATGAAAAAGTACTGGAAGTTTCCCATACTAATGTCGAGACACAGTATTGGGGTCTATATTATATGCAGTAGCCTTCCAGAATACTTTCAGGCACCTATTTTGTGAGCTATTGCTCAATATATATGTCACACTGAAGCACCTCAAGTAATATGGTTTAGTGCCCTCAAACAGTGAGAATAAGAGAGAAAAGTAAATCCAGCCTCACAGCAAACTAGACCAATTGTGAAGCACGCTGCTAGCAAGGTAACAAAATATCTGCCTGGATGCAAAACAACTCACTGTTACAATAATTTTGGGTATCTGACATATGGCCACTTCTAACATTAACTGAGGACAATGTACAAAGTTTAATTTAAAATCTTTTCTATATTTATTTTTTTTTAAAGAGCTTGTATTTCTACCAACCACTTAAAAAAGATATTTTTTCTTCTAAACTCATTTATCTTTGAAATACTTCCCCTGCTTTCTCACCACAAATTTTCTGTGGAAATATAAGGCTTTGCAAAATTTATTTCTGTCTTGACACTCAGTAAGGCTGAACTATCTTTAAGTTTTGGGGTGGGTAATGCATTCATATTGCTAAGAAAAATTGAAGTTATTGTATATTTTTTCTTGTGAAAAATCCTTGTGGATTTCCCATTTACAGGAGTCAATTTTATAATTCCTTTATAACTATGTGATGAACAGACATCTATGAAGAACAAGACAAAATAATGGAAAGTCAAAAGGAGAAAATGGACTTGAAAATTAACTGTAACTTTAGATATGCAAAGAGGTTTAACTAACTGAATTACTAACTCAGACCTCCTCCAAGCTAAAGGTATGTTTCAACAGCTGTGCTAAACATTTGGCTAGCATTTCCTGGATAAACAGTTCAGACTTCAACTGTATAATGGGGAAAAGAAGAGAGAAAGAACAGACTTACTAGTTTAAGTTTTACAGAGGCTATGGAGTTGCTATGGATTAATAAAGTTTCAGATGACTAAAGAATAGGATATAATAAGGAAAACACGTTTTACTGGGTATATCAATGCAAACTTTCGTTTGGAGTAACCTTTACTCACCTGAGTAAAAGGACATTGTAGCAAAAACAGAAGAGATTCAGAGACAGGCAAAGAATATGGACTTGTATAAGAATGTGAATTATCATTTGGCTTAAGGAACAAGCAAAAGGTATGTAAATTTCTATATAGAGTATACAATCACTGATCTACAGAAGAAAAATTAGGATCACTACTGTTTATACCGTTTAAGCATAAAAGAGCAAAAGATGAGAATGACATTAAAAAGCAACCAGTTTAAATCTGAAAAAAACCCCTGTATTTATTTGTTCTTCTTTGTTCTTAAGCATGATTCTTTTTAATTTTAGTATTCCCCACCTAAAGAAATATTTAAATCTCAAAACTCAGGATCAACCTCTCATAGGAATGATGAGACATCAGTAATTACATTAAACAATGCAAAAAAAATAAGGGCTGAAACTAACAAAAATGTCAGAATAAATTATTGCACCTTCCCCTGAAACATCTGATAAGAGTCAGAGGTAGGACACTGGATTAAATAAACCACATAGTTTGGCTATGTTACTGTTTCTATGATATTAGGTTTAAAAACTTCAGTTATATACCCCAGTTAGTCTTAAAAATTTATAACCATCTTCTACACTGAGCAATGAGTTACAGTAATATTAATGAATGTTATGGTTTTTCCCACTTACGTGTGCATGCATATATATATATATACACACACACACACACATTAAAAGATATCATATACATATATATGCATACATTAGTTCATACATGTATACACACACACACAGAGACACATGCCTTCAGAGAAGTGGGGCTCACTAGAAGCCCTGAAGACCATTCTTTACGCCCTTCTCTAATACACATTACCAAACTGTGTAAGAGTGTGTGCGTATATGTTTAGTGGTGTGTAGAGGAAAATGTGAGAATGAAGGGAAGCATGAGCCTGAATATGGGAGAAAACACTCATGTTACTGTCATTATTTCAGATCTGTGCTTGAAAGCACATTTCCAAATGCCTTGTACGTCGGCTAAGTTGACCAACAGCCAAGCAAGAAGAAATACACAATATTAAAGGGACATTTTGAAAATGAAGACATTTATGTATGTATTTTCTGTTCTTTCCTCTGTTAGTATTAATACATCATACTGCTGACAACTGGCAGGATAAGAAATTAAAAGAACTAATTTGATTTTTGCCACTTACCCTGTTTATCTGTTTCATGTTTCTGCCAAAATTGAGAGAAAACTTGGATAGTCCATCTCCTGATGGATTTTCATTTATCAGCTCTAATGGGTTAGCTCATTATAAACTTTTCTTTTTATCAGACTTGATTAAATAATTTTAGTTTTAGAAATACCTAAGCTTAATGAATACTCTAAGTTGGCAGTATCTCTTTAAACATAATTAATAATTCCTCAGACCCATTCATACAAAAATTCTGTTAGCTTTTACACTCATTCACATTAATTCACACTATTTGTCCTCCCTGTTTATTTGGGAAGGCTTTCAAGAACATTAATGAAACAAAAGTACTATCACCTCATCTGCTAGCAGAACTGCAGCTAATCAGTTCTGAGGCTGCAAACAACCTATCTTCCAGACAAAGTAACGTAACCATAAACTAGCTGCAGGTATCCAAGATAGCAAAAATCAGCATGACTGTATTTAACAGGGTAAATGACAGGATAGGTTTCCATTTCAATGAGGTAAAGTTGTGTATAAGTTCCCCCATCCCCAAAATACATATGTAAGGTCATTATCTCAAATAAAAATAAAAGAGATAAATAAGTTATTTTTTAAAAAGCTAAAAATGAAATTACCTTTAAGCTTATTGCTAGACAGAAAGAGATTGAGGCAGGTAAAAAAACAGAGAAGAGAACTCAAGAATATTGATAAATGTATGTTATCATCTCTGAGAACCAAGGGTTGGTTGGCATCAGCTGAGTTTTGTCTCATGATGCACACTGTAGATAGTTCTTGCTGTTTCGTAACAAATAGTCCAGGATTTTTAGTCTTCAAATTGTAATGGGCTTATTTGATCATCTTTCTTTTTTTGGTCCAACTCCATAGATTTTAACATCTATCTCAGCAGGCACAGGCCTGCATACTGGATAAAAATATAGATAGAATTACATAGTTAATATGCTGTGCAGGGGGGTCTATATAGAGTACAAACACCAGCATACAATGTTTCATCTTGATCTGAGCAGCCAGTCTGCCTGCAGGATGCATTGCATGGTGGTTCCTCTAGTCTCTGAACAATAAAATTTCTGAGAGGACAATTGCCACACTCCACTGCATTTCTATGCAAAGTAATTGCAAGCCTCTTGGCTCCTCCCAGGTCACTTGCATTGGCCACAGGAGGGTAAAGAAGTGTTTCTGATGAAATGCATGGTATTGTCTTTCCATGGATTTCCTTCCAAGCAGCAATGCTTCTGGCTCACCCCAGGGCCAACACTTCCATGAGACGAGTTCCTGGGAGACAGGTCATCTCTCCACTCTTCCTGCTCGCCAGCAGCACCTTTTCACAGAAGACTCTTCACCTCTTCTGTCCCATAGCGAGTGCAAGAGTGGGATTTTTTCATCTAAAAATGTTTTTGTGAGGTTAGTTTTTTGTTTTATTTTCTTTCCCTAAATTTCCCTAGCTAACGTTCATTTGACCTTGTTATCAAATGTGTTCTCTTGCAATCATCTGAAAGGCCTTATTCAAACCAGCATATGTTTTCTTTTTTTCCCTTTTACATTACCTTAAAGGCACACATCTGTTGACATAGTTTCTGTAGAGAATGGATTTCATCTTTTGCTGAAGTTTTGCTCCAGCCAAAGCCGAACCTCCTGCAGATTGTAGAAAAAAGGGCCTTTGCCTCCCAGGTAGGCGATTTTTTGTCTCTGCACAATGCATACTCGCTCAAATGAAACCCCGTAGGCCACATTGGCATTGTTGTCCATGCAGTCAGCTACCACTTGGCACTGAGGCGGCAAGGAAAAGCGCTCTAGGAGCTGGTGAGCAGCTGCGCATCGGTCTTCCTGGTTCCTGTGTTTCTTAACTTCAAAAGAAGAGGGAGAGATTCCAGGGGCAGCCCAGCCATCTGATGGGTGAGCCTCATCGATGTAGACCAACAGAAAGTCAGCCACACCAGAGAAGTCCTCCACCAGCTTGCTGAAGGCTGACAGCTGGCTTGTGAACGGTGGTCAGGTAGCTGAACCAAAGTTGACTACCAGTGGCCGCTCAGAGTTGGCAAAATCCAGAAGGTGACATTTGGCTCCACACCTGCCACCGACGCTATTCCAGCTGTTGCTGCTGCTGTCATCACTGCCCTTGGCTATGTGGATTACACTGGAGTTTGGGGCTTCTCCTCCCAGTTTGACCTGATGGCAAAAAAAATTAAAACATAGCAAGTTAGTGTGACTTGCTTATCCAGTATCCTTATGAGTACTCTTTTCAAATAAATAGTCACCTGTTATAAGAGTACACCTAACTACCCACATGGGCACTAGCATAGGAATATAGTAAATCATTAAAAGCAGCAGCTTCAAAAAGTTAATCTAGTCCCATCTTCACTCAGAGTGCAGGGAAATGTGACATTCCTGACAGGTGTTCTACTTCACTATTGTGGGAAAATTTGATCTGAGATCTGTCTTGTCCTGTCCTCTACACACATGGTCCTTTCCACTATTACATATTTGCAGACTCAGGCAATTTGCTCTCAGGCAGATTACCTCCAATGTTTTCTAACTTTTCTCTGTGAGACAAATTTTCTAGACGTGATTTTTTTTTCACTGCCATCCTTTAGAGTTCTCTCCATTTGGTTCACATCTTCCTTGAAGACCAGTGTTCAGAACTTCAAAAAGAGTTTTTACTAATTCTCAGAATAATCAGACAATTAAATTACTTCATGTATCTCACAGGCTATATACCTAGTTATACATTCTAGATGTTTGCTTTTTAGAAAACATCATGACTGTTTTGGAAAAACAGTAGACTGTTGACTAGAGATTAGCTAGTGAGAAGTTATAATGCCCAGGTCCTTTTTCTGCTTTTATAGTTGCTCCCCACTATGGATTTGGGTACTTCACCAGTCCAGACTGAATTTCGTGCTTTGCACTTAGCCCCGTTGAACTGCATCCTACATTTCAAGCCATTTTTCCAATTCTCCAAAATAATTCTGTATTGTGTTCCTGATCTTCATGACACATGTAGTGCCTCTCAATTTTGAGAGGTTTGCAGATTTCATATGTGTATATTCTCTTCCATCCTGCAGTCCAAGAATGAAAATACTCAGAGTGCCAAACATAAGAGACATCTCTGCAGACGCCCACTCAATATATCATTCTGTTTTGGTCCATCCAAGACTGTGCATGCCAAAGCATTTTCTAACCACTGCAATAATTTCATCAGTGATTGAGTGACACATTTCCTTCTACTGTAACATTTCTCTAGATGACTGGGGAAAAAGCAGCAGGAAAAGGGGAAAGTTTATATCATGGGTGAAGTAGGATGAAGTGAAAATTAACTGTTCTCAGCTCTAACCCCAGATCTAACTCAGACCCAATAGGCAATTGTGGAAAAGTAATTTTGCCTGACCGTTTCCATTTCCCTGCCTATGGAAAAAAGACAGTATACAAGCATTTCACAGAAGGGACTGCCAGAATAAGGTGGAGCCTGCAGAGGGCTCCAAGATCCTTAGCTGATAACTGCTATAGAACCACAAAATATTATTACATAAGATAATTAGCTTTTAATAAGCTCTGCCACAGCAATTCCTATGTATCTGCCTTTAACATCAAGCTCTAGTACAACAATGCAATTATCCTTTTGTATTTCCCTGACACTTTCTATCTCTCTCTGTCTCCTGTCTATTTGATTACATTCAGAAGTGTTGCTTTGAAGGAAGCATACAGGGCCAAATTCTGAAGTGTTTCATATTTTATTTCTTTCTTTCTGAAGCTACACTTGAAGTCAATAGACGTTAACACTGAATGAGAACTGTGTGAAAACTGAATAAATAACTGATTTTTGATGCCCTTCTATTCTACATTACATTATAGAGTATCCTGGTGAGTCAGGTACAGTAAGAAGCTGAGTTAACAGCTGAATATTTAACTGACATGACTGCTGCTGCACACAGATCCAGAGGCAAGTATATTGTAGTTTAGGACCTGCTGTGTGAGTGGCCCATCCATTAAACTCAAGGAAGGAAAGGAGTTGTTTTTGAGAAGAAAGGATCTATCTGTAGAGAGGCAGGCTCAGAGACTCAGGCTGTAGCATTTAAGAAGGAGCATTAAGCATCTTGCAGTGTTTAAGAAGTGCTGCTACAGGCCATCTACACCTTAGCAGGTAGTAGGTACTCTTCTGTGCAGCTGTTGAACATTTAATTTCATTCTGCCATTCTGTGCAGTAAGATAGGCAAAGTAGGAGTGAGCAACATAAAGGGACTGACTTGAGCAAAGAAATACACAGATCAAGATCATGTGGTGGCCCTATAATCATCCTGAGGATTGCATTCAATCCATAAACCAGTTAGGCAACTCAGCATTTTGTGATAAGTTGGTAACTACCAAAAAAGGGCACATCTCGAGAAACAGATTTGCATAAACACTAGATCATTCTTTACCTAGAAAGCTTAACTGTTCTTGTGCTACCAAACAAATGCTTTTTCAGAGCTAGCTTGCCCAAAATATGCCTTTTGGGCAAAGCCTGACATGTATCTGTGCTGCACCCACTCCCTGGATGAATAATGGACCTCAGTATTTAGGAGTGTGCACTCATCCAGTCAAAGAAAAAAAGTAACAACATGTGATTTATCTCATAAATCACAATTAAGCAACACACTTTGAATTTCTGATATTTGCTGGCACTTTTCAGAGAAGAAAAATAAAGGTAAAAAGGATAGAAGCAACTAAAACTCAGCAGTGAACAGAACTGCTCAGGAGACAAGAAACATCTGAGCAGCTGTTTCCCCTCACTCTTCTGTTTTTATTTAAAAAAAAACTATTATGACTGAAAATACTCTAACCAACACTTTTGAACTGGGAAATCAGAGTCTGCTTCTTGATCATATTTAAGCAGAAAGAGAAGCTACATATTGTAAGCTCCTCACTACCAACCCTTCACTCAGGTCTACCAAACACTTCTTTTCCTAGGTGAGTTTACAAACCCCGAAGAAACAAACTAACAAAAGAACTCCGTGGAACACCAGGTTGGGAATGTCCCTCAAGTGCTATTTAACATTGATACCAAGGGCGGCAACTATTTCACTGTTCTCCAAAAACGCAAGTTTGCATTCTGTCTCTCATACTCCTTATTGACAAAAAAAAAATAGGTATCTTTAGGAAATAAACTACAAATCTGCCCTACATCACCTTATAGCAGTTTCTCTTCGTTTCTCACAGCCGTGAAGTAAGTCTCATGGCCGCAGGTTACCTATAATTTTAATTTTTGTTTCTAGGAGTGCTTGTATTGGGTTTTTCCCCTTAATGAGACATCCTTGCCAAGCAGGCATTCATGAAGCATTTTTCTGCTCTTGTAGAGGAGTAATTAGGTCGGTGCCTTGTTCCATGCCAGTGTCAGGCACTCCAAAAAGCAGCCCTGCCCAGTCGTTAATGCTTAAACATAAGCAGAGGCATCTCCACTAATTGGTCTTGATGAAGTGCTGACGTTCCCAAAGAGACTCTTTATTTCACCAGGCTCGGAACCGAATGACACAAGATGACAATATCATCCTCGTTGATCATCTGCATTGTAGGCCTTGGCTGTCTTCTTTGTTGTTATTTATTGAAAGAAAAAATAGCTCTTGGAAAAGAAAATCAGCGCAATGAGAAAACAAACAAAAACCCCCATGTATTCAGCCAAACCGCTTTTGAAATCTTACACAAAGGCAGGCAAAACATAAATTCTAAGAAACAAACTACCAGAATCCCCCTCACACGCCATCCAGCATTACTATAATCACGTACTTATGTGCATGAATATTTGGACATTCGGCACTAGTCTTGTGGATGAGGTGGAAACTGGGCAGTGCGCAGGCACCCTCTCCCATGCAGCCTGCACAGGACATACAGGTGGGCCAACTGAATCCAAGAGCCAGCCCCAGCCATCAGCAAGAGCAAGCACCAGCCTGACACAAAAGCAGTGACTTGCATCATTTGTGCAAATTTTGTGTTTGCTTGACAGGCTTCGTATGGCGTCTCCTTCTCCGAGTCTGCGCAGAGTGAAAAGGGAACAAGGTTGCTGATGCTTTAGCACGCTGGCTGCAAAATGAAGGAGACTTAGGAATGGGAAAGAAAGCCCCATTCATAAACTACAGGCTAGAAATAGCACATACTGCTAACTTTGTTGTACATTCTCCATGAGGACTAGGAAAAGCCCCACGGACAACACAATTGCCTCCTCATTTACCTTTTCTTTTTTTCTCATTCTGCTTTTATCAGCTTCATAACCCTCCTAGGATCCTGTGCACTGGAATACAGCTTTCATTCTCTGCATGAGGGATTTTCAAATAGTTTGTCAGACTCACCAGGCTATGTCAACCCCCTAAAGAAAATAGGTGCTCACAAACAATTAGCAGTCTGTGATATTAGCCATATAAATATAGACAACCTGTGTTCAGGACTGGAGTGCAATGATTGGTAGTGAACTGAATCCCTGGAGCTTTTTGCACCTTTTCAAATTTTCTGCTTTAATTTTATTTGATCCCATTCAGCTAAATAAAACCTCTGAACAGGCCGATATTTCTCAGTGCTTCATCCAAATCATAATCAGACTCCTGGGGGAAAATTTATATAAATTATTATTTTTGTCTTCTTTATGTACATGACCCAAAATTGTGCAGTGGATAACGATTACAGGAGGTCCTTGTCTGGAGTAGCATATGGGAGTAGGAGTTCTTCATTTGTCATGGGGAGGTGGCAGCTTGCTTTAAAAGACTCGATTACTCAAATTGGAGAGCAGAGACTGGAATTGACTCGAGTTCTGCCAGAGTCCAGAGTCTTTATTTAGGATCAGGTGTGTGAAGCTGAGGGAGGGAAGTGGGAGACAAATTAAAAGCGCACAGTTCAGATAAAAATAACTAGTCAAATGCTGCTCTCTTTATTTTAAAACTGCCAGTCCCACAAATGAGCATGCATGGCAGAGGGAAAGCATAAAGGAGCCTTTTTCCTTGCACTCTTATAAAAGAAAATGGATCATTTTAGTTCCTCTGATCAGGAAGCCTAGAGCAAGCTTCTTAAGGACTTACATTTCCCTCAAAATAGGAGCATGGCCTATGACATTGTGGCCTCTGGGCCACTGGCTGCCCTTGTGGATTCTGCCTACTGGTGGTAGAGACCTTCACCTGTCTTTGTCTCTTTGTCTGGAGGACATTTGAATTTAATTTAGATGAGGGTGTTTGGTTGTTTGGTTTTTTTTTTACTCAGCTTTAGTACTGTATGAATACACAGTGGTGGTTTTGTTGGAGAGGTAGATCTGGGACCACAAGGAGTGGGTCCCATCCTTTTCCTAGATGGTGCCCATTAGCTAATTTTCTGTGTCGACCACAGTCAAAGGGGTTTTTCACAAGTTTGATAAAAAGGCAAGCAATTCTTTCAGTCCATTTTTTGCACATATGGGTCAAAATGGAAGACTGCAAAGGGGTGGTGTGGAAGAAGTGAAGTTAGATCTGCGAAATGAAAGGCATAGTATGAGACCCCATGGGGGATAGAAGCCTTCATATTCCTTTTCCTACCCTTTGTCTGTCTCAGTGTTTGAGCTGTAAGCTCCATGGGACAAACTGTCCGCTCCTCTTGCTTAGGACACTTCCTAGTACAATGGGTCCCTGGTCTAGGTTGGTCCTCTGACACTACTATAACAAACATTATTATATATTAATAATAATGACAATTTTTTAATAATAATGACAATGACAAGTCCAATTCTTGTTGAATTTGTGTTCCAAACACTGCAGGAAAGATTTTAATTGTGGCTTTGTTTTGTTTTTCTCACTTCTTTCATGACTGTTCTCATTTGAAAATGTCAATGAAAACAATTCTGCTAAGTCTGAACTTCGTAAAACCAGTAAAATATTTTTAATATCACACAATGTCTAGTTCTAAACTCTGAAACTATACAATGTGCTCTCTTTCACAAATTCTCTTTATCACTGTCAAATGCAGAGAGAGATACTGCCTTACTTTGTCAGACAAAATAAAAGCAAATAATAAGTAGAGAGGTTATGTCTTTGTTCCAACCTTTAAAAATTCCCCCCAAAAGCAAAGAGTTACTGAGCAGCCAAACAGCAGGTAAAGGATGATTCCATTATATTATTTTCACGTATAACTTTGTAATAATGCTGTGCACCATGCACTTAACATGACGGGTTTTGGGCTGTCCTGCTTTGCATACTAATTTTTTAGGAATAAATGATGTACCTACCAGGCAGCCAGAAGCATCCAAAGGTAATTTAATTCTGCCTCCCTGAAATCTCAGGAAAATCCCACTGGGTGTTTACTGAAGCAGTCTGCTTACTGCTACATCCAGTTCTGGGTCTATGCTGTGAAGTTGGGATCGGTGGGAATCGTGCCAACTGTTCCCTCTGTGCTGGGTCTGTCAAGCCAGAACTTGCTGCTGGCCCATTCTAAAGACAGTAAAAAGCTGTACAAGTACATACACACACACACACCCATCACCATCAGTCTCTTGAGATACCGGCATCCTTCTGAGGGCTGTAACGTACATTTACACACATGTGCATGTTACACCCATAAGTGCACCACAGCATTCCTAAGCATTTGGCTGCTTCAGGAAGATGGGTTAAGGTCTTCCCCCTAACTATCCTGCACTGAGCTGGAGAAGACAGAGGATTTCCTCTAGGATAACCTTACAGCTCTCTACTGCAGACCTGGAACAGTAGCTCTGCATTGCTGAAACACAAAGCTCGTATCTAATATGGGAAAAGCTCCCAGCACAAGGCCTCACCACTGGGCACTGCTAAAGGATGCAACATTTTTTGTACCCATTTTAAAAGCATTTTAAGATAACAATTTCTCAGCTTTGGAATCCTAGAAAGTGGATTCATCCCAGTACTAAATAAATCATGGAACTTAGGTAAAAAAAGCTTTTACAAGTAATTTTTTTTTTTTTTCACAGTACTAAATAAATCATGGAACTTGGGTAAAAAAAGCTTTTACAAGTAATATTTTTTTTTTCAAAACTTCTCTAGCTTTTTCTTTGGATTTCTGTAAGATATGTGCCACATCTGGTATACATGCTGTGGGCTAAAAGAAATGCCTCACTGGTATTTGTACAGATGGTCTATATAAACAATGCAGAAGGCACACTAACACCCTCCCCAAATTCTCTTTTGTTTTTTCTCTCTTATCAATAGGTGTGGTTGCATTCATATCTGTACATATGTTTACATACACACATATATATATGTACGTATATACAGAGAAATGAGAATGAACTAACTCCTGAAAGAGCAGATTATGTATGCCTGTGTGTGTGTGTATTTTGCATTTATACACATATATGTATATATATGTACATATATATAGATAGATACACATACATATCTGCATACATGCAAACACATATGAAAGTGTAAATACCTACACACACATACATACATTATTTACTCTTCAGGACTCAATCCACTCATTTCTGTAGATAAACAGAGCACAACAGTAAATTAGAAAAATAACATTTAAATAAAACTGTTGCAGTCTTTCAGCAATATGAATTTAATGTAACTTGACTACTAGCTCTATTTATCTCTGTTATGACAATCTGGTCCTAAGTACTCTCTTGTTGTAATGGAAGACACGCTTGCTTCTTAGGAAAGAATAGGAGGAGGATGTTCTCTAAATCACAAAGCTGATGCAGTGTAGACAATATCAACACTGAATGTGACAGATACTGAACTCGGAGCTAAGGAAATAAAAAGTAATACATTAATAATTGATAAAATTTACATAAGAAAATAAAAATAAAGATCAATCATTTTGATTCCAATGAGACTGCAAAATGTGGAGAAAACAAGTCATGCAGAATGTTTCAATAAAAAAGAATACTGAATATACTCTGTATACAATACAACAAACTCTGCTTTGCTTCCCCACTGAGGATGTTAAAATCTTCAACTGTTGCTAGGCAATGTTGCCTATGAAATAATTGTCCTAACCAAAAAGTCATGTGCAATAATACTTAATAACAACAAAAAGCAGAACAAAAGCAAGCTGAAATTTGTGTAAGATGTTAAAAAGTTTTTCTAGAAGGGAAAATGCATCAGAATAGCTATTTTCAAATATACTCCAACTATTCCAAGATCATCTCTTGTACACACTAGTCTTGAAACAAAATAACTTAACTCTGGGACAGTGTGTGCTTTTTTGTTGTAATAAATTTACTGTAATCCATGATCTAATATCTACCCGCAGAGTTTTTCTAGAATGTCTTCCAGTAAATTTTTCTGTGAAGAGAAATTTTACGTCAAGTAGTTTTGTGACAAATACTATGAAACGTACCCAGGAAGGGTTCTGTTTAAGTGACACAAAACATAGTAAAACCAAGCATAGTTACTGCTTTAATCCAGTCTTCTGCTAACTGGCAATCTAGCTTTGGTTTATTCCAGACATCTGCAATTCTGCTATTCTAGCCGAAAAACAGTGATTACAGCATAAATACTCCTCAATGGAATGAGCTTAAGCACCTGCTTAAGCACTTTGCTAATACCTGGCTACAGCTAGCACATTGGAGCAATAAA